TCGGCATCCAATTCCCAAATCAATAAGACAGTTAGCTTAATTACTATTGGAAAATGCTTGTCATTCCTCTGTAGCATCTGGTCCCCACTGGACCCTCATCATTTCCTTCATCTGCTCCCCCCGCCGACCAAACTGTGCAGCTCTGCAACTGCATCCTGGTCTATCCTCACCCTTCTGCCCCCAACTCTCACCTCCTTGTACCCCCAATATGTTTTTCCCAATAAAAAATAATGAAAAAAAACAACAAAACTGTAAGCTGTTTGCTAGTAATTAATTCAATTATTCATATTTTTCACAGTAAATTTTTAACAATTAACTTACTATTTTATACTTTAGAATGTGTTTCTCTAATTTATATCCTTCCCTGTATTCAAGCTGTGTGATTTTGCTTTTAAAAGTTTTGATAGTCCTAGGAATCATAATATTAAATATAAAGTAGCCCAAGTTTTATCACTAGGAAAACTCCAACTAATGCAGACTAATCTGAGAATACAATTAATTTCCCTGTGAATCTTCCACTTATTTCAAACATTTGTGTAGCTATTTTAGTGGATATACAACATTTATACATAAGGTACCATTAAGAAAGGATTTACCTTTTCACTCTAAGATCATTGCCGCATTTATTGAAGCAAGGATTTTGATGCATTGAATTACTTTGCTTCCTGTCTGATATTCTGTTATAACAAAACTCTTAGTATATGCAAAATCATCCAGTTAACTGAGTTCCTTTTCAAAGTTGCATGCTGTTGGTTAGATCATTCCTTAATGAAACTTCCAGGCTGTCTATTGTGTAGGACACTAAGAATACCCTCATTCCCTCAGTGCTTGCTCTGGGCTGTGTTTTATTTGCAAAGTACCCTCATGCATGAGTTAATATAAATGAGGCAAACTGTAAAGCAAGCTTGATGTTTTCCTTAGCAGTCTATGAGGAAGAAAAACTATGAGAAAACTGCTCAGATTTAATTCTCATTCATTAGGAAGATTTCTGCATGTGTGAATTAAGCATGATTTTTTATTAGAGTTTTATACTTTCTGATCCTAATCTTATTTGACAACCAAAATACCAATTGATTTACATAAACATGATCTTCCTCTCATAAAGTGTCTTAAGAACTGGAAACTGAGTTTCTGAATGTTTTGTTCTATTTTTCACTTCAGTATTGGATTTTTAATGAACTCTAAAAATCACTTTTACTTTACTGAAAAACCTGAAAAATAAAAACTATCCTTAGTCTATTTATAATACTCAGGAGTGGTAATTTGGTTTTCAATATGGTACAGAAAGCCTGGACTTTGTGGTGTCAAATCATTTGTATGTACTTGCATGTTCCTTAGACATGAAGTTTTTCTCAGCTATCACCTAATGTCTTGTTTTATTTTAATCAGCTGACTATATAAAAAAGAAAAATTAAATGCATAAGATAATATTGTAATAAACATGTTACTTATTTAACTAAGTAGCAGGTGTACGACTGCTAGTATTTTTTGTATTTTTTAAATTTTTTTGATTGCTAGTATTTTTGTATTGAAGTATGTATTTCTTGTAGGTAAAATAGAAGTTTGAAACTACTATCCATTTAATATTTTAGCCTCTCATTGCATAGTAAAGAAGTCATTCACTACTTTAATGCAAGAAATTAGTATTTTATTAGTATCATCGTGTGGAATCTAATATTGACGTAATCTTAGGATTTGAGGTAGAAGAATTATTGTTGTTGCTTTAACCTCAGACACTTGGCACTCTGCACCAGTGTCTCTCTTGTACAGTAATGCTTTTTTTCTTGACATCTAGTTTTGGTTTCAGGCAAATACTATTCTACAGCCAAAACATTGCTCACAATAACCATACTTCTTATTTTCTTTTTCCCTTCTCTTACTATCCCTACCCCCAACTTAGGTTGGAAAGGCTGGTAGATGTCCTGAGGAAGAAAGTTGGAACGGGAACCATTAGGACTGTGATCTGACTGAAAAAAAACCAAAATGACAGTCTGGGGAAGCAATCACATCTGGTGACCAGGCTGCTTCATTCAACACTGTGTAAACACTAAAGCCTTAACTTAGCAAACAGTTGTTAGAAGTGGGACACTCCAACCACATTCCAAGCTGAGATAAAATCAAATCACAAATGTTTAACCACTTTGCTGCTGACTTGAGTTATTTATCCAAATATATTAACTACAGACATTTACCAGTGAGTAGCTATAAGGTTGCAGCTTATTTTGTAGCTATTTTACATCTCAATTTCTTTTCATATCAGTCTTTTCATCACGAAATCATTATAGAAACATGGTAAAGTTGGTCATGATTATGACTTCACATACGGTCTTATTGGAATCACAATGTGGCAGAGTAATTGTGTTGGTCAAAATTTCAAGTTTATATATATTTTAATAGGAATAACTTAACCAAGGAAAGATATTCTGATATAAGAGCATATTACTTTCCTTCATTATACACATTAAGAATGGATACTAACAATTCAATGTATATCATTTAATCTTAAATAAGAGTTTGGTTGACTAAAATTACATTCATCAACCATTATTTTGTTTTATAGTAAGTAATACAAATTGTTTTAATAATAAGAGGAAATTAATAATAGCTGTAAGTTCAGATTGTCAGTATTTTGAATATTAGGCTAGTTATATATAGTTTATAGAAAATGCCAAGTGTCTATACAAATAGGCCAGGACACTTTTTGCTTGAGAATTAGCGTGTGCCAGCAAGCCTGTATACTGAAAGATTAGAAGCCAGTAATCCAAGTTAGGGTTGGTTTTTATTTTTTATTATCATGACAGGTTATTGTTTGAATTTTTGTCATAGAAGAAAGAAATCTAACACACAGTAAAATTATCATTTCAAAATAGAAGGATATAGAAAAAAAAGTAAACCTGTAACTTGGCTCAGATGGTCTACTTTTTCTTTTGTTTAAAAGATAAGTTAAAATTGTTAAAGTGTAGCAGTTACTTTTTATCATATGAAGTTGTGGATAAAACAGATATTGTGTGTATTTGACTATAGGAAAATAACCTCTTGGGGTTTTTTTGGTGGTTTTTTTTTTTTTTTTAGTTGATTAGATGAGGAGCCAATGGGAAACTCCTGTGACTGGAACAAGATATGATAGATGGATAGAGACAGATTTAGTGAAAAATTTGTACTCCAATGAAAATTTTTGTCTATCTTTTATTAAATTTACCTTTAATATTGAACCAAATTATCAACCATTTCATATTTTCTGGGTAATGATAGAGTCATTTACTACACTGCTATTTCATCTATTATTGGAAATTATCTGTTTGAATTTTTTCTAATTCTGCAGGAAAATATGAGATACTTCATCATAAGTAAGAGAATTATAATTATCTTTCTTTAATGTGTAAATTAAATAAACTGGAAATTGTAATGATTCCAATGAGTTTGAATGTGGAGTTTATTCATGTTGTCTTTTTAGAATTTTTTTTTAAACTATGAGAATTAGAAAACAAAAGGGATTGGTAATTGTGTGCAGTTTGGCTACATGTGGAGTTTGAGTCTCATTGTTGGGATCTAATTGAAACCTGTAAGAGCACCCTTCTGAAGTCATCTAGGAAGCACAGGGAAGTACAAAACTAGTTCTTTTTTTAAAAAAATAGGGAATATCAGTACATTCCTGAATCTTCCTAACGAAAATCACAAGTAAATGTCAGTGTTTAGTTTAATATTAAAAATATATAGCTCTGTCCTGAGTTTGCCTGGGATTTTGATAAATGCAAAGCATTATATAAAAATGTATCACAATTTTGATGCATTTTTTTATACTTAAATAATCAAATTAGAGCAGCTGATTCTTAAACTCAGTATCCACAATATATTTTATAGACAGTATCCTAATGCTAAGTTTATAAAACAATTCTAGCACACATAGCACTCAGTGGAGGGAATTTACAAAAAAAACCCCACATTTACATAAAAGTATGTTGTTTAAAGATGTAAAGTATTACAGGTTAAGATAATCATTAGTTGATTCCTTGTACTTAAAAATAACCACAAGGAATAGTTCAGAATATTCGGGTTTTAGTATAAGAGACACTTAACAACAAGAAGTATAAAAGAAGGCCCTTGTTAACTGGAGATTAGTCTTCTAGAAATTCAATGAAAATGTGACTTCAGTAGTACTCCACACTGCTTAGACATATTACTTTGCATTTGCTTTAAACACAAAATCTAATTTCTATAATAGAATGAGAACCCACTGCTCATAAAAACAGGTAATTCTAAGACGGAAATCGTAATAGCCAACAACTGTATCTCTTGACGATTTATCAAATCTTTTCATATCATCCTTTAAAAAAAATTCAGTCCTCTTAACAACCATATAATAGTACTATTAAATTGCGAGCTCTGGTGGCCTAGTGGCAAGAAGCTACACTGCAATCCCAGAGGTGTGTGGTTCAAATCCACCAGATGCTTTGCTGGAGAAGGAGGAATAATCTCCTTCTGTACCTGTCAAATCTGATTTGACGGTACACAAACACACACACACACATAATAAAAATAAAATTTAAAAAAATAGTACTATTAAATTATAACCAAACTAAACCCACTGCAGAGTCTGTATCAATCATGTAATAATGATGACTATGATAACTTTGTGATATTGTTGTTGCCTCCATTTTATGCTTAAGAAAACAGACTCAGAAGAGTGAGAAACTTGCCAAAGATTGCTAAAACTTAAAACTGAGAATCAACTCAATTTCTTGCAATTGTAAGTCTTTTGAGCCTTTATGTAAGCAAATAAATAAAGATATTGATTCTTGCAATTTCTATTATCATTATTCTTTATATATACTTGTTTGTGTGTATGTTGTTGATACCTATTGCCGAGTTGCCTGCAGCTCATAGCGACCATGTAACAGCTCTGAAGCCTGCCCTGTCCTGAGCCTGTCTCACTGATTCTGACATACCCATACCATTACCCCAGTTACTGTGTCAATCCATCTCATCTGGAGTCTTCCGCTCCTACACTGTCCCTTCAAACTTCAAAGCATGATGCCCTTCTCCAAAGACCAGTTCCTCCTAGCCACATGCCCGAAGTATTTGAGACAGAGCTTCAAAATCCTAGCCTCCAGGAAGAAACTTGGTTTCACCCTCTCCAAGACAAACCTGTTTGTTCTCTTGGTGATCCATGGTATGTTCAAGACTTCTCCAGCAGCACACCTCAAAGGCATCGATTCTTCTTCTTTCATCTTTAGTCATAGTCCAGCTCTCTGATGCATAGCAAGTAATTGCAAAGACCATGTCCTGGATTAGGTGCACCTTAGTCTCTAGACTGACATTGTTGCTTCTCAGTACTCTGGAAAGGTCCCTGATCACAGATTTTCCCACTGCAATTCATCTGTGATTTCCTTACCACTGGAATCAACAGTGTTGATTATGGAGCCAACCAAGCTAAAATTGTTCAAAACTTCAGTCTCTTCTCCATCTGTCATGGTGCTTTTAATAATATGTTGTTGTTGTTGTTGTTATGTGCCATTGAGTCGCTTGTGACTCATAGCAACCCTATGTACAGTAGCCCTAAACTCTGCTCTGTTCTGTGCCAATCATATCATCTCCGATACACTCATCCCGATTACCCCAGTCACTGAATCAATCCACCTCATAGAGGGCCTTCCCCTCCTGTGCTGTCCCTCCACCCTACCAAGCATGATGTCCCTCTCCAAGGGCCTATCCCTCCTTACAACATGTCCAAAGTATGTTAGATGGAGCCTCAGAATCCTTGCCTCTAAGGAGCCACCAGATTTGACCCTTTCTGGGATGAATCTGTTTGTTTTCCTAGCAGTCCATGGTACCCTCAATACTCTTCTCCAGCACCACAGCTCAAAGACATCAATTCTCCTTCCATCCTCTTTAGTCATTGTCCAACTCTCTGATGCATAACAAGTGATAGCAAAGACCATGGCCTGTATCAGACGCACCTTAGTTTCCAGAGAGCTAACAATATATACACTGAATTTTTGTAACAGCCACAATTGTGTGTACTTCTTTTAAAGAAATCCACTCATGCATGTAAATAGCACCATGTTATATTATCATCACCTGTACAGCAATATACTTTCCCTTGTTGTTGTGAAATATCATCCATTTCTACCCATATCTACCTTATGAACAATAGATCTGAACTCTGTCCTATCCAGCACTATTCTTATCATCCTCAACACAGATGAGTCCATTGCCACAGGCATTGTGTCAATGCATCCCATTGAGCATCTTCCTCTCCTTCACTGACCCTTCACCTTTCCAAGCAAGATATCTCTTTCTAAGGAATAACCTAACAACATATCCAAAACATGTGAGATAAAGCTTATACATCTTTGCCTTCAAGGAACATTCTGGTCACACTTTCTCTAAGACATATCTGTTTGTTCTTTGGCAGTCCGTGGACTCTTCTCCAACACAACCAGTCAAATGTATACATTCTTCTTCTGTCATCCTTATTCACTGTTCAGCTCTCAAATGCATAGCAAATTATTGGAAAGATTGTGGCTTGAATCCAGCACACCTTAGTCTTAAACTGGCATCTTTGCTCTTAAGGTCTTTGGAAAAGTCCTTGACAGCAGACTTTCCTAATGCTGTACATCTCATGATCTCCTGACAGCTGGTACCAAGGATCTAAGCAAGATTTAATTGATGGCAATTTCAATATTTTCTCTATCTATCATGATGTTACATATTGGTCCAATAGTGAAGATTTTTGTTTTCTTATTATTGAGATACAATCCATATTGAAGGTTGCAGTCCTTGATCCTCTGCAGCAAGCAATTCAGTTCCTCCTCACTTTCAGGTCCTCTTCAGTTTCAACAAGCAAGTTGTGTCATCTGCATAGCACAGGTTATTGATGAGTCTTCCTCCAATCCTGATGCAACTCTTCTTCATAAAATCCACTTTCTCAAATTATTTGCTCAGCATACATATTGAATATATATGGAGAGAGGATACAACCCTGATGCACACCTTTCCTGATTTTAAATCATACTGTGTTCCCTTGCTCTGTTCAGACACTAGCATCTTGTCTCATACTTTCCCTTAGTCACCATTCTAAATATTAAAAAGATGTTATCATTAAGGAAAAAATAGTCCGAGTTACTTGCTACAATTTTTAATGTGACTTTATGGTAAAACAACCTGGAGATGTAGTCTTAAAATTTTTATCTCCAAGAAAAATTGTTAAGAGCTGAACTAGTTACAACCAAATTTTAAGCCAATTTACTAATTATAAGCAATTATAGCAGTTATTAGTTATATATTACTATGTGAGACATTTTCATTTTCCTTTTATTAATAAGTTACTTATATAATTTTTTTTGTATTTAAAAGTCAGTATAATTTTTATTTTTTTAATTGTGATTTTAACAAAGTTTACAGAAAAGTTGGGTTTTCATTCATTTGTTGTTGTACATTTCCCCCCAACCTCC